ACTTTAATTATTTGTAATGACACAAATGTCTGTTTAATAATAATTTATATATGGGCACAGTGGGGCTTGATGGATACATATAGTAGATTTAGATGGATATCCTGTGTGATTTTGGTCTCTGGGAGTTACATAAATGTTAAGGAGAAAAATATGTATATGCTCTATATATACAAAAGTATGTGGACACCCCTTCAAATTAATGGATTCGGCTATTTCAGCCACACCCATTGCTGACAGGAGTATAAAATCGAGCACACAGCCATGCAATCTCCATAGACAAAGATTGGCAGTGACTTTCAACGTGGCACTGTCATAGGATGCCACCTTTCCAACAAGTCAGTTCGTCAAATGTATTCCCTGATAGAGCTGCCCCGGGTCAACTGTAAGTGTTGTTAATGTGAAGTGGAAACCTCTAGGTGCAACAACGGCTCAGCCGCGAAGTGGTAAGTCACACAAGCGCACAGAATGGGACCACCGAGTGCTTAAGCGCGTAAAAATCATCTGTCCTCGGTTGCAACACTCACTACTGCCTCTGGAAGTAATGTCAGTACAATAACTGTTCATTGGGAGCTTCATGAAATGGGTTTCCATGGCCGAGCAGCCACACATAAGCCTAAGATCACCATGTGCAATGCCAAGCGTCGGCTGGAGTGGTGTAAAGCTCGCCGCCATTGGACTCTGGAGCAGTGGAATCACGCTTCACCATCTGGCAGTCCGACGGACAAATCTGGGTTTGGCGGATGCCAGGAGAACGCTACCTGCCCGGAAGCACAGTGCCAACTGTAAAGTTTGGTGGAGGCGGAATAATGATCTGGTTCAGGTTAGGCCCCTTAGTTCCAATGAAGGGAAATCTTAACGCTACAGCAAACAATGACATTCTAGACAATTCTGTGCTTCCAACTTTGTGGCAACAGTTTGGGGCAACAAAGCGAGGTCCATACAGAAATGGTTTGTCAAGATCGGTGTGGAAGAACTTGACTGGCCTGCACAGAGCCCTGACCTCAAACCCAACAAACGCCTTTTGGGATGAATTGGAATGCTGACTGCGAGTCAGGCCTAATCGGCCAACATCAGTGCCCGACTTCACTAATACTGTTGTGGCTGAATGGAAGCAAGTCCCCGCAGCAATGTTCCAACATCTAGTGGAAAGCCTTCCCAGAAGAGTGGAGAATGTTATAGCAGCAAAGGGGGGACCAACTTCATATTAATGCCCATGATTTTGTAATGAGATGTTCGACGAGCAGGTGTCCACATACTTTTGGTCATGTAATGTGTATATACTGTCAGGTCCAATATTATTGGCAACCTTGATAAAGATGAACAAAAAGTATATTATTTTATACTAATAGATTTGGGGGGAAATATATTTTGTTTAACAAGTGCTTTTTATTTTTATCAATACGATAGAGGTACAAATAATTGGCACCCCTGTTTTCAATACATTTTAGTAATTTGGCAGACACTCTTATCCAGAGGGACTTACAGTAGTGAGTGCATACTTTTTTGTACTGGTCCCCCGTGGCAATTGAACCGACAACCCTGCCGTTGCAAGCGCCATGCTCTCCCAACTGAGCCACACTGGGACCCACCACACCGTGCGAGGATAACGGCACTGAGCCTTATTCTAAAATATTTTATGAGATTGGAGTACACATTGTGATGGATCTTGGCCCATTCCTCCATACAGAATCCTTCCAGAGCCTTGATATCCTTCGTCTGCGCGTATGGACTGCCCTCTTCAATTCAAACCACAGGTTTTCAATAGTCAAGTCCAGAGACTGAGATGGCCATTGCAGAACATTTAGATTTTTGTGGTCAATTAACCATTTCTTTGTGGATTTCGATGTGTGCTTGGGTTTATTGTCTTACTGGAAGATCCATTTTCGGCCAAGTTTCCACCTCCTGGCAAAGGCAACCAGGTTCTTGGCTAAAATGTCCTGATACTGGGTGAAGTTCATGATGCCGTTGACCTTAACAAGGGCCCCAGAACCAGTGGAAGCAAAATAGCCCATTAACATCATAGATCCACTACCATATTTTCCAGTAGGTGTAGGGTTCTTTGTTGAGAGAGAGAAAGTATTACTTATTTTTTTGAATTGTAGCCTAGATAATCATGACTCCTCTATTCGTTACATTTCTAGCTGCACATTTCAGAACGTTTCACCTAATTGACTACACCCCAGTGCATGTATTCTTCTCCTGTTGGTGGTATGTAGTTCAACATACGAACATGCAAGAGAACACATATGAAAAACTGCTTACATGAAAGTGGAGGTAGGGCCTCATCATTTTTACAGCAAGGGTCTGTTTTTTTATGAGTTTCTTTCTCCACAAGTGGTATGAAACCGCTTTATGGGCTTTGCACACATCACTTGCCATGAATTTTCCAAGAATATAAAACTTGGACATATTTATATTATGGTACTATTAACTTATAGTTCTTTTCAAGGCAACTGGTTCATTGACCTATGTAAAATGCATCCTTTAAGGGGAATATTGAGCATGTAACATCTTCACTTTCCACAAGTCAAGTGTGGTTCATTTGATTATCCATATTCTACTGTGCAAATGTGGAATAGTCCTTTTCCCACCATCAATATAGCATAACATTTCCTTATGAATGGTTCATGAAGCATCTACAAAGGCCTTATGTAGGGTCATTATAGGTTTCATAAAGCCTTTCAAGTTGATTCCAATGGGACCAGTGTAACTGAGCTGGTTCTACGTGGCATTTTTCCAGACATCAGGCAGAGCTGAGTTGGCAGTGTGCTCATAAAGGCCTCTACTTGGACAGCAGTCGCCCTCTTCATTAGTGTTTCCAGGAAATACAGTGTAAGAGGAAAGTCGGTGTAGTGGGATATATACGACTGGCCTTCTCTACAAACCTGCTGGAGACACAGCACATAGAGAGATATACTAGTAGAAAGTAGGCTAGATGTATGGCTGACTGAGGGATCTTTACATTCTATTATTCCAGAATCAACACAGGTTTACTGGTTTTAGGGTTTTACTGAGAGAATCATGCTGCCTGAATCAGCTCTAAGATCCATAATAATGGCCATTCTATCCAAATACATTGATTGTTGGTTGATTGATATTGGGAGCAATCCAGATGCCCTACATCTTAACCCTAAATTCCAAATCGGTGTCAACAAATAAGCTATACATCAAAATTACACCTCGTTAATCAGGTTTTTACCCAGGGGTCTTGCTGTTCAGTGCGGGTAATTACAGGCCCCCTATTGGTCAGTCAGCCAGCGGTGAAAGAGCCAATCCTGGAGTGCGTAACAGCATGCTCCAGCCGTACGACATGCCTTTTGTTTTTAATGATCAAGAGGCTCCTTAAAAATGTTGCCCAGCGCTCCTCTCCCATACAGGGGAGCAGAGAGGTAGGGTGTATACACAGCTCGGTTAGCTACACCCACCAAACCAATCAATCCAGAGAGCCACTGGCTCCTTGAGGCCATCCCAGGAGGGCAGAACTTCACTTGAACAACAGGTAAATCGTGGATTACAACGCTTATGGTGTGATTCAATGGTGTGCTTATAAATGTGTAATGCATGCAAGATGTATAATGTATGCTAATGTATACTTTATATACAGTTCATCTAAATGGTTTACATCACCATGGCTAAAGCTTATTTTGTACCAAGTTCTTTGTATGATATGTTAGTGTCAGTCAGTAACAACATGCAGAGTTTACTTTTCAGAATCTTCAACGATTCAGGTATTGGTTTGGGAATAAAGCTGAAGAGGGATTTTCATTATAACAGATAAAGAAATAAAGTTATTTTGTCAAGTCAATCCCTCCATCAGCGGTAAAGCCAATAGCTGGAATACATAGGATATCAGTACATTTACATTTTCTAAGTTTCAATGCCTTTGAAGACTTTAAGAATCTGAGAAACGATGGTCTAGTCTGACCTCGTTGAGAAGTTACTGGCCTTTGGTGCTCTATGATTAGTGCTCCAAGGTAAGCTGTCGTCAACGTTCAACCTTGATAGAACAACCAAATGAAACGGATAGTTTTAATTGTTGACCCTTTACAGGACCGCGACTTGGGCCTGTATAAACAAGTTTATGAATTTACATGACCATACACAAGCAGACATTTGGTTCGCCAGGGGAGCCGTTCGGTACTTGAAAATCATTGTTAAATGGTGCAGGAGGCACTGAAAGGAGAACACTATTATTACGTTTTATAATAACATTTGAATAAGCCATTATAAATACTTATAAATCTTTGTATAAATGTTTAATAAACAATTAATATAATATGATGTTATAAATGTTTATGAATTGTAATGCTTCAATGCTTATACATGTTTATAAATGTTCACAAATTAGGAAATATTCATTTAGAAATTGTTCTTTAATGCTTATTCATGAACATTTGTATAAAGTCTCACCCATTTTAGCATGGTCAGGAAAAACTCTTACCCTCTCAATTGTTCCTTATAAAGACTGGATATTCCCAACTTCGCCCTCAGGAAACAGATAAAGCAGAAAATGGCACGGGCAGGAAGACTAACATTTTCCCTGATCTACACTGGAATTATTGTAGTGTTATTGCCAGGTGAGTGAGACTTTTATTTTTATTTTTTATTAGGAACCCATTAGCCGACGCCAATGGCGACAGCTAGTCTTACTGGGCTCCGACACAACGAAAAATACATTACAAACAAAATACTTTACAATTTACATACATTTAAAAACATGACATTTTACTGTGCGTGTGTGTGCATCTATCAGTTACACATACATGTTAGTACATACACACAACAAGTAGATCACATGGGGGAGAGGCGTTGTGCCATGAGGTATTGCTTTATTAGTGGGAGATGAGAGCTCCATGCAATCATGGCTCTGTATAATATTGTACTGTTTCTGAAAGACATACCTGACTGATTGTCTGACTCAAAACACTTTATATCAGTCACATTACTGTAGCCCAAAGGCATTGCACACGCAGTACAGTAGATTATAATTCATACCACAAATGGATCTTAGTAAACAATCTTCAATGTCACTAAAATGATGGGCTGTTCATACACTAGATAAAACCAATGCATGTACTGTCGATGACAACGTGTCAGCCATAGGGGCACACATACAACTTCTTATGTCTATCAGAACTTTTTCACAACCCCACCATTAAAATACATACAGTACATCTCTGATGCCTTGGAGCTGCACTTTGGCATCATTAGTAAAGGTGAGACACCACAGACGTCTCACCATAACTGAACCAGCTGACAGGGCGTTTTCCTTTCTGCCGTAAACTTCTGAAGAAAACCCCTGGTGCTTTTAACGTATAGAGACACGGTGTACAGAACATCGGAACAGGTCCCCCCCTAAACATATTAGTTTACAGTGGAGGTTTAATTGGGTGGGATGGAGTGAGGGGGCCTTTTGGGTATGCTGCCCAATGCTCTTTGTAGTTTTACGGTTTCCACTGACTTCCAGTTGGCCACATGCAGTCTCATACAAACTCAGGCCCCCCAATCCTGTTCAAAGTGACTGGAGTGTTTGTGCGGGGGGGTATGTATTTATGTTGGAAGGGTGTTTCTAGGTGTGTGTGTGTGTGTGAATATGTATGTATGTTGTGATGTGTCTGTGCGTATGTGTGCCTGCATCCGTGTGTGTTTAGGTTAATCGGCAATATGCTGCCTGGGCTGTACCTCTAAGCGCCGTCTCCTGCCGTGCACTCCCAGGGGTCAATTAGCAGGGCCAGCATTTTCCCTCATTTGGGGAACACAACATCTGGTTCCTGTCGACTCATGTCCCTACCGTTGTTTTACAGAGTTTCTGGGGGCTGGCCCGGTGTGGCAGAATGCGAAGGAGGAGGGTGAGTGAGGGGGACTGGTTTGTAGGAGACAACAAGGGGAACATGGATGTTAGCAGGTATACTACTGGACAGTATGTCATACCAAAATATTTTCAGACATTAACGGCAAACTCACTTACTGTGATATTTATATGCAAGTACACACATCCTTACAGTATATACACAAATACACTCATGTAGTGGTGTACTCACACATACTTGTGTACTGGTGGTGTTTCTTTACTCTAATATGGCACTTCATGAGTCCACATTCTCTTCTTAATATGTGCTGTCTTTCTCTCTCTTGTTCCAGCATCTGCAGTATCCAGTGATGTCCGCAGCAAGAGGAGTCTTCCCGTTCCCATTCCCGTCCTCAAGAGTCAACCTGACTTCTGGGGATGGTACAAATTCTTCATGGATACTGGTAACCAGGAAGGAGTGAGTGGCAAACATTCCACAATCATTTTTGTTTTGAGTGAATGCACTTTTGGTTTCACACCTACCTTTTTATCTTCATCCTGCACATACACTTCACTTCATTCACTAGTAGATAAAGCGGCACTTTGTACTGCACCTGCCTCCCTAATATCTTAATTGGCCAGTATTAACAGTCTTGATTGAGCTTTCCTTGCACAATGTAACAGTCCAAAAAGTGAACTTCAACCATCTGGCATTCCAGACAGACTCAATCAAACGCTCAAAGTATTTGAAAGGAAACATACCATTTGAACCAAGGTCTGGATCTGATGGGAGTCTGTCTTTCCCCTGTCTTCACCTTATAGATAGAGCATCTGGACAAGATGTACATGACCTACCTGCAGAACAAGCACCGCTCCGAGGAGGGTCCCACCTTCAACCATTACCTCACCCACCTCAGTGCTATCTACAAGACTTGCGCCGACTCCGACGACCCAGAATGCATCGCCGAGTCCACCAGCAAGCCCAAGGCCAAGGTGGTGATGCCCGCGCCCGTCAAGACCGCCACAGTCAAAGTATGCAACCCTTATATCGACCCCTACTGCCACTTCCCCATGATCCCTAAGATTGCCGCCCCAGCCCCGGTCAAGGTCGCCCCAGTGCCTGTTCTGACCCCCTTCCTACCGCACCCTCTGAAGAACCCCACAGGGTTCTACTACTATGCCCCAGTCCTGGAGCCCTTCCTCCCCGCCGAGCAGAAGACGGAGCTGCTGCGCATCTGCAACCCCGATGACACCGAGTGTCTGCAGTACCACCTGCGTGCCGCCTATGGCTACAGGCCTGCTCTTGGACCCGCCCCATCCTACGCCGCCCTGGGCTGCGATCCCACCAAGGACCCCTACTGCCGGCCAAAGCTGGTGGAAAAGGCCCCCTCCGGCTTCTACCACCTGTACCCCACCTGCGACCCGGCCACCGATCCCCTGTGCGGGGCTAGCATAGCGGCCCCACCTCCCGCTGCCAAGGAAGCCCCCAAGGAACAGCAATGCAACCCCCTCTTCGACAAGGGTTGCAACCCCCTCACTGCCACCAAGCTGGCCGGCCTCACCAAGCCCGTCCTGGAGTACACACCCAAAGACAAGCCGGCGCCCGCCCCTCTGGCGTGTGACCCGCGCTACGACCCATTCTGCCTGTTAGGCGCCGCCGCTGCCCTTCGTAAGGCCCCCCCAACGCTGCCCCAGTACCAGATCCGCTCCCGCCTGGGCATCCTTGGGAAGACCAAGGAGGGCCACGACTGCTACATGCACTACGATGAGGGCTGCACACCCGTGGAGGCCAGTGATGAACCCAACGCCCCTGCTGCCCGCCAATGCCACCCCTACGACTTCACCTGCAACGGAATGTCTGCCCCTGCTCCCCTCACCGCTGAGGCAAACAAGCCCAAGAGTGGCGTGATCCTGCCCGATCCTGACTGTGACCCCGAGTACGACTACAACTGCCGCCTGCGTCGTGCCGAGGATGCCTCCGCCGCAGCGGAACCAGTGGCCAAGGAGCCCAAGGACGAGCCAGTGCAGCAGGAGGCTGCCCCCGAGTACGCCGTCCCACAGTTTGAAGACTTCCTCAGGAGCTACATGGCCATGGGTCAGTACAGGAAGAAGTAAAAAAAAGAACACACAAATCTCAACTAGATGCTATATCTAGATCGTTAGAACTGGAAGAAAGTGAAACAAGTTAATGTGTTATACATACACATACTCACAGTCCTCCCAAGGTGCTAACATATCTCCAATGGTAAAATTCTGCTAAAGCAGGACGACTAGTGTCTTATCAACAGAAAGATCCATACCTGCAATAGTGAATCAGATTCGCTCAGTTACAGTGCCTGAAGGTGTATCATTTTACCATCTGTGATATATGTGGGGAACCCAACATGAGTCCCTCTAGGTTTTATGGTCCCATAGAAGACTATGTGAAAGGTGCGCATTAAATACTATGTTTGTCTGTAGAAAATGTGTGTTTGTAGAATAGGGGTAGCTAGCATACTTGAAGACTGTCTAATCCAAATTTGTGTCTATGTATGTTTTCTGTGGTTGTACATTGTCTATTTCCAGTGGTTTGTGAACATAGTGTCTCTTGATGTATTTAATGTTGTTTTCATAGCTTTTCTAAAACCTATTAACCTCAAACCCTTCCTCTGGTTAGATTTTTTTTAAAGTTCCAAATAAAAAGTTTTAAAACAAGCCATTTTCCTATGGAAACATTTAATATCCACAGTACACAATGATGTAACCAATATATCACAGTGGTATCTGATAACGTGTGAAAACCCACATGAAAACAGAAAAGGTAATTGCTGGCTGAAATGTGTCGTACATGTTCAGCATTTTAGAGATAAGAACACTCACTGTTGGTCATCCCCTGAATTCACCAGCGGTGTGGTAAAGCCATTGTGGCATGCCCAGGAATTTAGAATAAGTATCAATATCATGACAAGGCTTCTATATCATGACTGAAACAGAGCCATATAAAGATTCAGATGTATACTGAACAAAATTATAAATGCAACATGCAACAATTAAAAATATTTTACAGAGTTACAGTTCATATAAGGAAATCAGTCAATTGAAATAAATAAATTAGGCCCTAATCTATGGATTTCAAATGACTGGGAATACAGATATGCATCTGTTGGTCACAGATACCTTACAAAAAAACGGTAGGGGCGTGGATCAGAAAACCAGTCAGTATCTGGTGTGACCACCATTTGCCTCATGCAGCGCAACACATCTCCTTCGCATAGAGTTGATCAGGCTGTTCATTGTGGCCTGTGGAATGTTGTCCCAATTCTCTTCAATTGCTGTGCGAAGTTGCTGGATATTGGCGGGAACTGGAATACGCTGTCGATCTAGAGCATCCCAAACATGCTCAATGGGTGACATGTCTAGTGAGTATGCAGGCCATGGAAGAACTGGGACATGTTCAGCTTCCAGGAATTCTGTACAGATCCTTGCGACATGAGCCGTTCATTACCATGGTGAAACATGAGGTGATGGCAGTGGATGAATGGCACGACAATGGGCCTCAGGATCTCCTCACGGTATCTCTGTGCATTCAAATTGCCATCGATAAAATGATATTGTGTTTGTTGTCCGTAGCTTATGCCTGCCCATACCATAACCCCACTGTCACCATAAGCAAACCGCTCGCCCACACACGTGGTCTGCGGTTGTGAGACCGGTTGGACGTACTGCCAAATTCTCTAAAACGACGGCTTATGGTAGAGAAATTAACATTCAATTATCTGGCAACAGCTCTGGTGGACATTCCTGCAGTCAGCATGCCAATTGCACGTTATTTCAAAACTTGAGACATCTGTGGAATTGTGTTGCATGACAAAACTGCACATTTTAGAGTGGCCTGTTATTGTCCCCAGCACAATGTGCACCTGTGTAATGGTCATGCTGTTTAATCAGCTCCTTGATATGCCACACCTGTCAGGTGGATTAATTATCTATGCAAAGTAGAAATGCTCACTAACAGGGATGTAAAAAATCTGTGCACAAAATTTGAGAGAAATAAGCTTTTTGTGCTTATGGATCTTTTATTTCATCTCATGAAACATGGGATCAATCCTTTACGTTTATATTTTTGTAGAACACATAATATTTATTTACACTCAGACATGGACTCTGCACATTATGGCTTTTCTTATACCTTGCACTTGACTTTGAATTGCCAGAGCTCCATCCAGCCCTCATAGGATTGCTGAATCCAAATGGACATATTACAAACCTATGCTCCTGACTGAGAAGCATAGAAGGAAATCCTACAACTGTATGAGTTTCACAGGTATCAATTTGCTTTACCCGCAGCCGTCGGCAATGGGAGGCTTCCCCATGTTTTTCAACTGTCACCAGACATAGCACACACTCTGGCCTCACTGCTGCTGCTGACCGTTTTAAAATCAGGTAGCACGCAGTGGAAGACTGTAATAACTACCTGAATCCAAATTGTGCTTCTGGAAGCCTGTGGAAATATTTCCTAAATTACAGGTGTCGTCTTGTAAATGTTTGGTTTCTTGTGTGTTTCTGCTGGTTGAATGGAGTTAGCGAGGACCATCTCCTCTAGGGAATGGTATAGTGAGGCTGCCTGGTATTTACTGCTGAGGCTACTTTCGATTTACTGCCAACTAAGTGTCTATTTTCTCAGAAGGTTTGAAAACCACAACTCATTGGTGTAAGTATAATATCGATAGAATGAATGTCATATAAGCAGACTCGTATGGTTAAAACATCTCTACAGCATCATCATAGGTAGGCCTAGGGCTGTGGCGGTCACAACATTTTTGTCAGCTGGTGATTGTCAAGCAAATAACTATCGGTCTCACGGTAATTGACCGTTGATTAACATGAACACATTTAGCATCTCCTGGCTTCCACACATAGCCTACAAGCCACTGATGCAGACCTTTGGAACATCTACATTTGAAAAAGTCTAATAAATCCATGTAATATAGCCTACACCTTCACAATAAATCCATTATTTATTTTAGACAGGTCTAAAGAAGCATGATAGGAAGAAAATGTAGTCTATTTCAGAAGAACATAATAGCATACTCTGAGTTGTCCTTATGTTAGGTCCTGATCTGTCTATGTCAAATGGATGTGGGCTACACTAGTTCATTTAGCAGACAAGATTTTGCTTAGAATTCCATGGCATTATTTTATATTATTTTATAGTATGAAGAATACATCTGAACAAAGCTGAATGAAATAGAAAGGATATTTTCTCCAAACGATTTGAGGGAGTTCGCACATGCGGCTATTGTGTGTTGAGCGGTTAACAACGAAATAGGTACTCCTACAGTGAGGGAAAAAAGTATTTGATCCCCTGCTGATTTTGTACGTTTGCCCACTGACAAAGACATGATCAGTGTATAATTTTAATGGTAGGTTTATTTGAACAGTGAGAGACAGAATAACAACAACAAAATCCAGAAAAACACATGTCCAAAATGTTATAAATTGATTTGCCCAGCCTTTCAAAAGACTTCATAATTACAGATGTGAGTGTTATGGGACGATAGTCATTTACAGTAGGCAGGTTACCTTGCAAGTTCTTGGAAACAGGGACAATGGTGGTCAGCTTGAAACATGTTGGGATTACAGACTGGGACAAGGAGAGATTGAAAATGTCTGTGAAGACACTTGCCAGCTGGTCTGCACATGTTCTGAGAACATTCCCTGGTATTCCGTCTGGCCCGGCGGCCCTGCGAGTTTTAACCTGTTTAAATGATCAAGTATGGTAATTCATCTGTGAATCAAGTATTCACCCCCTTTGGCATTTTTCCTATTTTGTTGCCTTTGGGGACAAATGACTCGACCTTCGCCTCTCCCGAGCCCATTGGGGAGTTGCAGCAATGAGAAGAGATCGTAATCACGGAATTTGGTGAGGAAAAAAGGGGGTAGAAAAATAAAATATACATTTATGGTGCTTTTAATAACCATTGTGCCTCAGCTGGCCACCTATTTGAAAGAATGGTTTCTGAATACCTCAAATGCCACTAGATGGAGTCCTTCATTCACCTCTAAACAAATAGCAGAGAACGATGCATTTCCAGGCCTATTTTTGTTCATTTGAACCATTTTATGTCAATGATGTATTAAGTGCCTTGCAAAGAATTTGTAGGAAGAAATCCACATGCTCTGATTCGCTTGAGCCTTTTCTACTGCAGATTCTGCCCCCCTCATTGTAGAACCTTTGACCCACATTTTTTATTTAACAATCTGATTTTGTTGCTTTGCAGAAAGCCCTTGTTCATATAAATTGGTACATAATGCAGTAAAAACTACATGTATGTTGTTTTCTAATTCTCGTATAAATATTTCAGATGGTTTACACATTTATGCATTGGATGGTTCTTTCATCGAGCAGGTTCCCGCCTATAAATATCTGGGATTTTGGATTGACAAACATTTTACATTTCGAAAACAAAACAGATTACCTACACTGAACAAAAATATAAACGCAACATGTGAAGTGTTGGTCCCATGTTTCATGAGCTGAAATAAAAGATCCCAAGAAATTGTTGCTACGCACAAAAAGCGTATTTATCTCAAATGTCAGCTGCAAATTTGTTTACATCCCTGTTAGTGAGCATTTCTCCTTCGCCAAGGTAATCCATCCACCTGACAGGTATGGCATATCAAGAAGCTGATTAAACAGCATGATCATTACACAGGTGCACCTTGTGCTGGGGACAATAAAAGGCCACTCTAAAATGTAAAGTTTTGTCACACAACACAATGCCACAGATGTCTGAAGTTTTGAGGGAGCATGCAATTGGCATCCTGACTGCAGGAATGACCACCAGAGCTGTTGCCAGAAAATGTAATGTTCATTTCTCTACCATAAGCCGCTTCCAGCGAGAATTTGGCAGTACGTTCAACCGGCCTCACAACCATTGACCATGCTTTGGCGTCGTGTGTGCGAGTGGTTTGCTGATGTCAACGTTGTGAACAGAGTGCCCCATGGTGGCGGTGGGGTTATAGTATGGGCAGGAATAAGCTACGGACAACAAACACAATTGCATTTTATCGATGGCAATTTGAATGCACAGAGATACCATGACGAGATCCTGAGGCTCATTGTCATGCCATTCATCCGCCGCCATCACCTCATGTTTCAGCATGATAATGCACGGCCCCATGTTGCAAGGATCTGTACACAATTCCTGGATGCTGAAAATGTCCCAGTTATTCCATGGCCGGCATACTCACCAGACGTGTCACCCATTGAGCATGTTTGGGATGCTCTGGATTGACGTGTGCGACAGCGTGTTCCAGTTCCCGCCAATATCCAGCAACTTCGCACAGCCATTGAAGAGGAGTGGGACAACATTCCATAGACCACAATCAACAGCCTGATCAACTCTATGGATGGAGATGTGTTGCGATGCATGAGGCAAATGGTGGTCACACCAGATACCAACTGGTTTTCTGATCCACGCCCCTACTTTTTTTTTAAGGTACAGTATCTGTGACCAACATATGCATATCTGTATTCCCAGTCATGTGAAATCCATAGATTAGGGCCAAATTTACTTCAATTGACTGACTTCCTTATATGAACTGTAACTCAGTAAAATCTTTGAAATGTTTTGTTTATATTTTTTGTTCAGTTTAGTTAAGAAGCTGAGATTTAAAGTAGGCTTATTTTATAGAAATATATCTCCCTAAAC